TAAATAACAATGTCAAAGGTCAAAATCTGCGTAAACAATATTTAACGCAGTTATTTAAACAACCAAATAATCGTAAGTATGTACGGTAAAAAAATAGTGATGGTAACATTAACTTCAAATTTATTTATGTACGAAAAAAAGGGTTTAATATTTTTTTTAATAATACCTAGATTTCGGACATTTTCCCGTTTTCCTACGTTTTTCTTGGTTTTTTCCACGGACAAACTCCTTAGAAAGTTTAAAAAATGACCTAAAGTACTACTCCAAGAAATTTTGTAAATGTATTGTAAAACCAATGCATTCCTCGATTCACCCAGAATCTAAAATTGAAAATAATGAAATTGTTAACAGCAATGTGGTGTACGTTTTTCAAAGATATCTTTTTCCGGTTTTCACTTGATTTTAGAAGAACCATTTCTTAAATTAAAAAACAACCGGACACGCTCCACACGATGGGTGTGCCACTGTTGTAGGTGAGAAGTTGGGAAGGTAGAGGTGAAATTTAATGTATCCATACGCAAAAATAAGCCATTGCTAATGAAAAAGAGTTTCGAAGAGTGTTCGGTTAATAGTATTGGTTTGTAATGTTTATGAAATTCATTAAAATTTAATATTGAAAGATGATTATACAAAAGATAAATAAATACTACATTAAACTTAATTTTTTTTTTTTTTTTTATCACTAAATACAATTTATAATGAACCTCTTATCAAATTATCAGGCAATTCTGATTAGTCCAAAAATTCTATTTTTAGAGTATTTACCAAATAAAAATTATGTAATCAACTTATTAAAATTATAATGTCAATAAATAACTCAAAAAATGGCTCAAAGTTTTTAAAAATTTGACTGTGTACAGAAAAATAAATGTGTTTAAGACTTTTGTCAATATGTCTAGTCCTTGAGAATTTTTTTAACTGACTCAAATTAAAAAAATATATTTTAAATAATGAAAGAATTATTTTCGTAAAAATAACCTATACCTAACCTATACTTAACGTAACCTTCCGTACCTTTACGTGTTTTACAAACATATTTATTTTTTTTTTTTTTGATCTGTTAACATTTTTTCTAACAATAGACTTGCTAGATATCTAAGAGTATCACATTTTCTAAAAGAAAATTGATGTAGGGAGGTAAATTAAAGAGGTCATTTTTTTGATTTTTTCAAGAGTATTCTCATCAAATTTGAAAAACCGAAAGAAACCAGAAAATAAAGAAATGCAAGTATAAGTAAAATATATTAAGGGTTCTTTTTTGTACATAACGTTTCAAATACAAATCTTTTGTCCAACTTATAATTAAAGCAATGTTTTTTAAAGAAAATTTTACTAGCAAGGTACTTTAGACAGGTTATTTTTCAGTTTTCTCAGTAGTTTTTCCAGCAAATAAGAAAAACCAGATAAAACAAAGGAAAACGGGAAAAACGGTACAATATCAAACAAATATTATGGGAGTAAATATATAAATTTAATTTAATTAATTTACTAAGAAAAGACATATATATTTACATATATCTATATATATAAAACTGTAATCAAGCAAAAGAGGAAATCTTTGTTACGGTTTGGCTTCGAAACTTCTTATCCAATTGCCATGCAGTTTTTTTTAAATGAAAGAGGATATCACGGAGCAGGTATTAGGCATAAATAAAGTCCGATAATGTTAGTCAATCTATGTCTATACTACTATATAAAATGAAGTCGCTTTTTTTATGTTCGGGATAAACTCCCAATCTACTTATTCAATCTTCGTGCAATATTTTTTAAATTAAAGAGGACATCACAAAGAAGGTTTAAGGCAAAAAATTAGTCCGATTAAGTTAATAAATAATTAGTTATTATTAATTTAAATAAACGTGTAAATTGTATACCTATAAATATATATTATTGTACAAATTGTGCGGGCCACGGGTTTCCTGATACCTGCCACCTGACCTTTGTGTTCGTCAAATTGTATTGTGTTTGATATCGGCGGTGTTCCGAGAAGTTTATCACACGTACACCAACAACATGTATATCAAATATTCATACATAAACGTACATATACATTTACCACTACATACAGAATAATTTTTTTTAAACATCATGAAGAATCCGCGGTGGCTACATTTGGCTACATATGGCTACATTACCACGAAGACGTGACTAAAAGTGGTCTAAAATAAAAATAATTATTTAACATCCAGAAAATAAATAGCAAATTAATATCTGAGAAATCTTGCAATGGCGAAGCATTGCCGGGTCAGCTAGTTTATATATAGATGACAAAGGTTCGCTAACAACTGAACTGCTCTCAAAATCTTTTTTTCATAAGCAATAGTTTAACATTGCTTTCAGATATACATTAAATTATCTATAACAGTGACTGCACTCGACTTCATTATCCTAGGATATCTTTCTAATCATCCATGTTCTCATATAATACATTATCAGAATTTTGGGGGATGAAACAGTTACCGTTTTACGCGTTTAGATATACATTAAATTTCCCCTTTATCTTCCCAAATTCTCACCTGCAACAGTCGCCCACACACATGTTATAAGCCGAGTAGACTCAGAACGAGTTTTAAGGAATTGGATTTCAATTTGAGAAAATAAACACATTAAATTTGTATTACACTATTAATGTGTTTAGTAAATAATATAAATAAAATATTTATAATTTAAAATCTACGTCCACAAAATTGAATGCTTTTTATAGTGCCGGCGATAATAAATTACGAGTTACTGTATCCCGTTGATGTTCGTAATAAATAAATCTCTCATAATTGTATTTGTTCATGTGATAAAAAATGTCAACGTTTCGTAAAATATTAAATACTTACTTCTCTATGTAAACCTTCAACAAAACCATTATTTATAACGATTAATTGATGGTTTTTTTAGTATTATATAATAGTTAAAATCTAATTAAACAGGATTATAATAAACGGTAATACAAAGTGGTGACAGACGACTGTTCAACTCAACCGTATTCATTAAGTTTCGAAGTGGCAAACAGACAGTGATTATAGACTATTAATTTTTAAGAAGCTAATAATTTAACGATGTCTCAAAATTCTGTAATATTTCCCTTATGTTGTGTTTTATTATTCTGTGTACTTTCAATAAATTCGCAACCAGGGCTGGATTGTTTAACGGGATGTCATCCAATACCATCCAATGGGATAATCTCGACTTGCAGTAATGGACTACCAGCAGATCAAGACGGATCATGTGAATGTTGTCCTCCTGATCCTTCAACTGGANCCCTTATGTTCCTCCTCCCTAACCGTATCTTTCTCCTCCCAATGATGATAGTAAGCCAATAAATGATTAAAATTTCGAAATATAATTAAACACTTACAATTTATTCGATTCATTTTTATAATTAATCACTATGGCTTGAATCTCCATTAGTTAACGAATTTCCTCTCCGTGTATTGATTACGATTACAAACATATTTTTAAAAACATTAAATTTACTATGTTATGTTATTATACTGTACGACTAAATATTATGATCATAAAATTTAGTATATTTCGTTTGTATATGATTAGTCGAATGTATTTATTTTTATGATTGATTTAAAATTATAATTTTCACCGTTTTGTTAAAAATATATCAATATATATAAACATATTTAAATATATATAATTTTCTTTGGTAAAGTTTATCCAGGCTTAACCTATGATTACCTATTACAATTTTTACTAATGCTGTAGACATAATTATTTTGTATGTAATGTTAATTTTTCGCTTATGTGTATGTATACAAATGTATACTATTTATAAGCTACAATAAATGTTTGAAGTACATAATATAAATAACAATGTCAAAGGTCAAAATCTGCGTAAACAATATTTAACGCAGTTATTTAAACAACCAAATAATCGTAAGTATATTAACGGTGAAAAAATAGTTATTATTACATTAACTTCAAATTTATTTATGTACAAAAAAAAGGGTTTAATATTTTTTTTAATAATACCTAGATTTCGGACATTTTCCCGTTTTCCTACGTTTTTCTCGGTTTTTTCCAAGGACAAACTCCTTAGAAAATTTAAAAAATCACCTAAAGTACCACTCCAAGAAATTTTCCTCTCAGAAAAGGAACATTTACTTGATACTACGGCGCAAGATTTCTGGTAGAATATTTGTACACCGTATAAAAAAGAAAAAGAACAAATATCACGGCAAAATCAATACATTCCTCACTCCGCCATAATCTAAACACGGTCGTCTTAACCGACATATAGGCAAAACATTTTTCTGATATTCAATTATTTTTAAGTACTATTCAAGAGATACTACTCTTGATATTTGGAACAAGATTTTTATATAGTATAAAAAGATACAGACAATCTTCACACAATAGGGGGGGGGGCACTTTTGTAGGCGAGAATTTGACAAGATAGGATATACAGGGAAATTAATGTACATATATCTGTACACAACGATTAATCGTTATTAACGAAAAACAATACCGTGCAGAGTTCGGTTTTACATTATTTATAAGGCCGTAATAATTACGATTTGAAAATAATTCATTCCGTATATTTTCCCAGTTTTTCCCATAATTATAGAAACAGCTTGGAGGATTAATAAACGAATTTCCTTAGGTACCACTCCCTTCAGATTCACTTTCAGGAAAAGTGCTATACTTGAAAATCGGAGCAAAATTGCCTGTAGAAAAGTTGTCCACAGAAAAAAATAAACATCATTGTAAAACCAATGCATTCCTCGATTCACTCGAAATCTAAAATTGAAAATAATGAAATCGTTAACAGCAATGTGGTATACCTTTTTCAAGGATATTTTTTTCCGGTTTTAACAAAATAATAACAATTATGTAAACAACTTACTAAAATTATAATGTCTATAAATAACTCAAAAAATGGCTCAAAGGTTTTAAAAATTTGACTGTGTGTAGAAAAATAAATGTGTTTAAGGCTTTTGTCAATATGTCTAGTCCTTGAGAAATTTTTTAACTGACTCAAATTAAAGAAATATATTTTAAATAATAATAGAATTAATTTCGTAAAAATAACCTAAACCTAACCTATACTTAACGTAACCTTCCGTACCTATACGTATTTTTTGGGTTGCTCAATTTTTAATAAAATTCCAGAGATAAGAAAAAAAAACGACTTCCTTACTTAATATTATCAACCCAATTGAAATTTCAACATCAAAAGCCTCATGTAGATTTTCTATTGGAGCAATATTACTTGATTTGATGATTAACTCTGTCAGTGGTATTTTATTAAAAAAAACAATGTTGGTACATTTTTTGAGGAATATTTCTGCTATACAAGATCGTGAACACGAACTTTAAATAACATAATCGGTAATATGGCACATTGCTATAAACATTTCCCGTATAAACAAACAGTTCTCAACCTTTTCGAGACTATTAACCAAAAAATGATAGATATTGACAAATATCACCCAAATAAAGTTTTTTAAAAAAAAATTGTTTCAACGGTAGTACACATACTGATGCAGATTTAGTAATATTAGAGATAAAAAATACAACAAATAAAAAAAAATATTATTTAGGTTAGGTTGTGATTAACCCCAGGTTGGGAACCGCCGGTTCATCCTATGCTTCTCTTTCGGTTATTTTTTAATTATTTTGCAAAATGACATCCTCAATGCAACAATTAGATACAATTACCTTTTAGAAAAGGTGCTAAACTGGATACCGAGTATCAAAATGTCGTGAAAAAAAGATAATTTCTTCTTTTCGATTCTGAATAGTGCGAAGACGCTTATAGTTTTTATAAAGATAATAATTTTCTTCTTTTATCTGTGCACAACTTTTCCTTTGAGTTCTGAGCATTTAAGAGGTGCTTGACATTTTTAAATTTGGTTTTTAATTTTATTTGCTAGGTTTTATATGTATTAACCTGTGAACTAAATATTATCCGTTTTTCAAAGAAAAAACATCACAGCAAGAATTATATATTTACTATTACAACAATTGTGATAGGTAAGTATAATTTTAGCTTGAAAGGATTTTAGCAAAGATAACTTGGACATAAACTTACGAAAAAAATAAACAATAGTTGTGTTATATATTTGTATATGTTGATATATTTTTAACCAAACATTGAATATTATAATTTTGAATAAATCATAAAAAAAATGCAAATTTCTAATCATATATAAATTAAATATAATACATTTTATAACAATAATAATTAGTCGTATAGTATAATAACATAACATAGTAAATTTATTGATTTAGGAATGTGTTTGTAATCGTNTTGTCCAGGAGGAAGATCGGGAGAAGGACCCGATTGAGGAGTAGGACAACATTCACAATTTTCACCATCAAAATCACCTGGAGTTGCTGGTTGTCCATTCTTGCAAATTGAGGGCGTCTTCGTGACATGTTTTGGAAAACAGCCTGGTGAACAAGGTGGTGCTTGTTGCGAATTTATTGAAAGTACACACAATAATAAAACACAACATAAGGGAAATATAACAAAATTTTGGGACATCATTTAAATACTTGCTTCTTAAAAAGTAATAGTCTTAAAGCACTGCCTGTTAGTCACTTAGAAATTTTATGAATACGGATGAGTTGAACAGTCGTCTGTCACCACTTTGTATTAACGTTTATTTTAATGCTGTTTTTCACAGATTTTAACTTTTATATAGTACTAAAAAACCACAAATTAATCGTTATAAATTATGGTTTTATTGAAGGTTTGCAAAATGAAGTAAGTATTTAATATTTTACGAAACGTTGACATTTTTTACCACATGAACAAATACAATTATGAGAGATTTATTTATTACGAACATCAACGGGATACAGTAACTCATAATTTATTATCGCCGGCACTATAAAAAGCATTTAATTTTGTGGACATTGATTTTAAATTATAATTATTTTATTTATAATATTTGCGAAACACATTAATAGAATAATACAAATTTAATTTGTATTTGTATTTGTGAATTTTTCACTGTAGATTAAGCCGATATTTTAGATTAATTACATTTTTTAAAATTTTAAGAAATATCCTGTCGTTATACTATCTTTGGTATTTAATGGGAGAACATTTATTAAAAATTCTATAACTAAACTGTGTATTTCTTTAAGTAAAATTTTGATTTCAATATTTTTGATTTTCATCTACCCGTTAACGAGATTTTCCACGTTTCAGTAATCCGGGGGTACACAACAACAGTTGCCCATTTATCCAACAAGATAAATTGAGCAGTTAAAATATATTATACGGAGTGTAATTAGTGTATTTGACATATCTACATGTGTGTGGGCGACTGTTGCAGGTGAGAATTTGGGAAGATAGAGGGGAAATGTAATGTATAAATAAACGCGTAAAACGGTAATTGTTTCGTCCCTAAAAATTACGATAATATATCATATGAGAACACGGAAGATCAGAAAGATATCCTACGATAATGGAGTCGAGTGCAGTCACTGTTATAGATAATTGAATGTATATCTGAAAGCAATCAATTTGGTAACGAGTACTTTTTTTCTAAAACTCTCGTCAAGTCAATCAAGTCAACTATCGGAAGCTTTGTCAACTATATTTATATATATACACGAATTTAAAATAACATAATCGGTAATATAGCACATTGCTATAAATATTTACCGTTTAAACAAACGGTTCTCAACCTTTTCGAGACTATAACCCATTAAAAAGGTTAGATTGACAAGTATCACAGAAACAAAGTTTTTAAAATAAAAGAACTGTTTCAACGGTAGTACACAAACTGATGCATATTTAATAATATTAGATATAAATAAGTACAAAAAATAAAAAAAAAATTAGTTAGGTTAGGTACTGATTAACCCCAGGTTGGGAACCGCCAGATCAACCTATGCTTCCCTTTCGGTTATTTTTTAATTATTTTGCAAAATGACCTCCTCAATGCAACAATTAGATACAATTACCTTTTAGAAAAGGTGCTAAACTGGATACCGAGTATCAAAATATCGTGAAAAAAAGATTATTTCTTCTTTTCGATTCTGAATGGTGCGAAGAAGCTTATAGTTTTTATAAAGATAATAATTTCCTTCTTTTATCTGTGCACAACTTTTCCTTTGAGTTCTGAGCATTTAAGAGGTGCTTGACATTTTTAAATTTGGTTTTTAATTTTATTTGCTAGGTTTTATATGTATTAACCTGTGAACTAAATATTATCCGTTTTTCAAAGAAAAAACATCACAGCAAAAATTATGTATTTACTATTACAACAATTGTGATAGGTAAGTATAATTTTAGCTTGAAAGGATTTTAGCAAAGATAACTTGGACATAAACTTACGAAAAAAATAAACAATAGTTGTGTTATATATTTGTATATGTTGATATATTTTTAACCAAACATTGAATATTATAATTTTGAATAAATCATAAAAAAAAATGCAAATTTCTAATCATATATAAATTAAATATAATACATTTTATAACAATAATAATTAGTCGTAAAGTATAATAGCATAACACAGTAAATTTATTGATTTAGGAATGTGTTTGTAATCGTATTCAAGAAATGGAAAAGAAATTCGTTGCCTAAAGGAGATTCAAGTGATAGAGAATTATTATAGAATTTAAATAGAATTAATTGATATGTTTAATTATATTTTCGTCATTTCAATCGTTTATTAATAACTTAGTATCCACTATTGGGCGGAGAAGATTCCGCTTAGAAAGGAGGAGGAGGACAACATTCACAAAATTCACCATCTGGAGTTGCTGGTTGTCCGTTACCGCAAATTGAGGGCGGCTCCGTGACCAGTTTTGGAAAACAGCCTGGTGAACAAGGCGGTGTTTGTTGCGAATTTATTGAGAGTACACAGAATTATAAAACACAACATAGGAGAAATATTACAAAATGTTGGGACATCATTGAAATATTTAGCTTCTTAAAAATTAATAGTCTAAAATCACTGCTTGTTTGCCACTTAGAGACTGAATGAATACGGTTGAGTTGAACTGTCGTATGTCACCACTTTGTATTACCGTTTATTATGCTGTTTTACACAGATTTTAACTATTATATAGTACTAAAAAACCAGAAATTAATCGTTATAAATAATGGTTTTGTTGAAGGTTTGCATAAAGAAGTAAGTATTTAATATTTTACGAAACGTTGATAATTTTTACCATATGAACAAATACAATTATGAGACATTTATTTATTACGAACATCAACGGGATACAGTAACCCATAATTTATTATCGCCGGCACTATAAAAAGCATTCAATTTTGTGGACATAGAATTTAAATTATTATTATTTTATTTATATTATTTACTAAACACATTAATAGTGTAATACAAATTTAATTCGTATTTGTATTNAGCAGTTAAAATATATTATACGGAGTGTAATTAGTGTATTTGACATATCTACATGTGTGTGGGCGACTGTTGCAGGTGAGAATTTGGGAAGATAGAGGAGAAATTTAATGTATATCTAAACGCGTAAAACAGTAACTGTTTCGTCCCTAAAAATTACGATAATATATCATATGAGAACATGGAAGATTAGAAAGATATCCTACGATAATGGAGTCGAGTGCAGTCACTGTTATAGATAATTGAATGTATATCTGAAAGCAATGTTAAACCATTGCTCATGAAAAAAAGATTTTGAGAGCAGTTCAGTTAGTTCAGTTGATAGCGAAGCTTTGTCAACTATATTTATATATATACACGAATTTAAAATAACATAATCGGTAATATAGCACATTGCTATAAATATTTACCGTTTAAACAAACGGTTCTCAACCTTTTCGAGACTATAACCCATTAAAAAGGTTAGATTGACAAGTATCACAGAAACAAAGTTTTTAAAATAAAAGAACTGTTTCAACGGTAGTACACATACTTATGCAGATTTAGTAATATTAGAGATAAAAAATACAACAAATAAAAAAAAATATTATTTAGGTTAGGTTGTGATTAACCCCAGGTTGGGAACCGCCGGTTCATCCTATGCTTCTCTTTCGGTTATTTTTTAATTATTTTGCAAAATGACATCCTCAATGCAACAATTAGATACAATTACCTTTTAGAAAAGGTGCTAAACTGGATACCGAGTATCAAAATGTCGTGAAAAAAAGATAATTTCTTCTTTTCGATTCTGAATAGTGCGAAGACGCTTATAGTTTTTATAAAGATAATAATTTTCTTCTTTTATCTGTGCACAACTTTTCCTTTGAGTTCTGAGCATTTAAGAGGTGCTTGACATTTTTAAATTTGGTTTTTAATTTTATTTGCTAGGTATTATATGTATTAACCTGTGAACTAAATATTATCCGTTTTTCAAAGAAAAAACATCACAGCAAGAATTATATATTTACTATTACAACAATTGTGATAGGTATGTATAATTTTAGCTTGAATGGTTTTTAGCAAAGATAACATTGACATAGAATTACGAAAAAAAAAAAAAACAATAGTTGTTTTATATATTTGTATATGTGGATATATTTTTAATCAAACATTGAATATTATAATTTTTAATAAATCATAAAAAAAAATGCATATTTCTAATCATATATAAATTAAGTATACTAAATTGTATAACAATAATAATTAGTCGTATAGTATAATAACATAACATAGAAAATGTATTGATTTAAGAATGTGTTTGTAATCGTAATCAAGATGTGGAAAAGAAATTTGTTGCCTAAAGGAGATTCAAGTGATAGATATTTATTCTAAAATTTATATAAAGTTAATTGATAATGTTTAATTATATTTTCGTCATTTCAATTGTTTATTAATGACTTAGTATCCACTATTGGGCGGAGAAATATCCGCTTATAATGGAGGAAGACCTTGTCCAGAAGGAAGATCGGGAGAAGGACCCAATTGAGCAAGAAGAGGAGGAGGAGGACAACATTCACAAAATTCACCATCTGGAGTTGCTGGTTGTCCGTTACCGCAAATTGAGGGCGTCTCCGTGATTAGTTTTGGAAAACAGCCTGGTGAACAAGGCCAATATTCTTCCGAATTTATTGAAAGTACACACAATAATAAAACACAACATAAGGGTAATATTACAGAATTTTGAGACATCGTTAAATTATTAGCTTCATAAAAATGAATAGTCTAAAATCACTGTCTGTTTGCCACTTAGAAAATTAATGAATACGGTTGAGTTAAACAGTCGTCTGTCACCACTTTGTATTACCGTTTATTTTAATGCTGTTTTTCACAGGTTTTAACTTTTATATAGTACTAAAAAACCACAAATTAATCGTTATAAATTATGGTTTTGTTGAAGGTTTACATAGAGAAGTAAGTATTTAATATTTTACGAAACGTTGACATTTTTTACCACATGAACAAATACAATTATGAGAGATTTATTTATTACGAACATCAACGGGATACAGTAACTCATAATTTATTATCGCCGGCACTATAAAAAGCATTTAATTTTGTGGACATTGATTTTAAATTATAATTATTTTATTTATAATATTTACGAAACACATTAATAGAATAATACAAATTTAATTTGTATTTGTATTTGTGANGTTATACCATCTCTGGTGTTTTATAGGAGAACATTTATTAAAAATTATATAACTAAACTATGTATTTCTATAAATAAATTTTGATTTCAATATTTTTGATTTTCATCTACCCGTTAACAAGATATTCCACGTTTCAGTATAGGCCCCCATGTGTTGTTGTCAACGGGTAAATAGGTTGTTCTATTTTTGAGCAGTTAAAATATATTATACGGAGTGTAACTAGACTATTTGACATATCTACATGTGTGTGGGCGACTGTTGCAGGTGAGAATTTGGGAAGATAGAGGAGAAATTTAATGTATATCTAAACGCGTAAAACAGTAACTGTTTCGTCCCTAAAAATTACGATAATATATCATATGAGAACATGGAAGATTAGAAAGATATCCTAGGATAATGGAGTCGAGTGCAGTCACTGTTATAGATAATTTAATGTATATCTGAAAGCAATGGTTAACTATTGCTTATGAAAAAAAGATTTTGAGAGCAGTTCAGTTGATAGCAAAGCTTTGTCAACTATATATATATATATATATAAATATACATGTCTTTTTTAGTAAATTAATTAAATGGACTTTATATATTTTCTCCCATAATATTTGTTTTTTGTTGTACCGTTTTTGCTTGGTATTATATGTATTAAACTGTGAACCAAATATCTCCCGTTTTTCGAAGAAAAAACATCACAGCAAGAATTATGTATTTACTAATATAACAATTGTGATAGGTAAGTATAATTTTAGCTTAAATGGATTTTAGCAAAGATAACTTTGACATAAACTTACAAAAAAAAAAAAAAAAACAATAGTTGTATTATATATTTGTATATGTTGATATATTTTTAACCAAATAGTAAATATTATAATATCAAATAGATCATAAAAATAAATACATATGTCTAATCATATATAAATTAAATATACTACATTTTATAACAATAATAATTAGTCGTAAAGTATAATAGCATAACACAGTAAATTTATTGATTTAGGAATGTGTTTGTAATCGTATTCAAGAAATGGAAAAGAAATTCGTTGCCTAAAGGAGATTCAAGTGATAGAGAATTATTATAGAATTTAAATAGAATTAATTGATATGTTTAATTAGATTTTCGTCATTTCAATCGTTTATTAATAACTTAGTATCCACTATTGGGCGGAGAAGATTCCGCTTAGAAAGGAGGAGGAGGACAACATTCACAAAATTCACCATCTGGAGTTGCTGGTTGTCCGTTACCGCAAATTGAGGGCGGCTCCGTGACCAGTTTTGGAAAACAGCCTGGTGAACAAGGCGGTGTTTGTTGCGAATTTATTGAGAGTACACAGAATTATAAAACACAACATAGGAGAAATATTACAAAATGTTGGGACATCATTGAAATATTTAGCTTCTTAAAAATTAATAGTCTAAAATCACTGCTTGTTTGCCACTTAGAGACTGAATGAATACGGTTGAGTTGAACTGTCGTATGTCACCACTTTGTATTACCGTTTATTATGCTGTTTTACACAGATTTTAACTATTATATAGTACTAAAAAACCAGAAATTAATCGTTATAAATAATGGTTTTGTTGAAGGTTTGCATAAAGAAGTAAGTATTTAATATTTTACGAAACGTTGATAATTTTTACCATATGAACAAATACAATTATGAGACATTTATTTATTACGAACATCAACGGGATACAGTAACCCATAATTTATTATCGCCGGCACTATAAAAAGCATTCAATTTTGTGGACATAGAATTTAAATTATTATTATTTTATTTATATTATTTACTAAACACATTAATAGTGTAATACAAATTTAATTCGTATTTGTATTTGTGAATTCTTCACTGTAGTTTACGCCGATAATTTAGTTTAATTACATTTTTCATAAACTTTAAGAAGTATCCTGTCGTTATACCATTTTATGTTATATTATAGGAGAAAATTTATTAAAAATTCTATAACTAAACTGTTTATTTCTTTAAATAAATTTTGATTTCAATATTTTTGATTTTCATCTACCCGTTAACGAGATATTCCACGTTTAAGTTTAGGCACCCATGTGTTGTTGTCAAGGGGTAAATGGGTTGTTGTATTTTTTGAGCAGTTAGAATATATTATACGGAGTGTAACTAGACTATTTGACATATTTACATGTGTGTGGGCTACTGTTGCAGGTGAGAATTTGGAAGGGTAGATGGGAAAGTTAATATATATCTAAACGCGTAAAACTGTAACTGTTTCATCCCCAAGAATTCTGATAATGTATAATATGAGAATATCGATGATTAGAAAGATGTCCTAGGATAATGGGATCGAGTGCAGTCACTGTTATAGATAATTTAATGTATATCCGAAAGGAATGTTAAACCATTGCTTATGAAAAAAAGATTTTGAGAGCAATTCAGTTGATAGCGAAGCTTTGTCAAATATACATATATATATATATATGTCTTTTCTAAGTAAATTAATTAAATGGACTTTATTTATTTTCTCCCATAATATTTGTATTATGTTGTACCATGTTTCCCGGTTCTTCATTTTTTTATCTGGTTTTTCTTATTTGCTGGAAAAACTACTGAGAGAATTTAAAAATGGCCTGCCTAAAGTACCTTTCTAGTGAATTTTTCTTTAAAAAACATTGCTTTAATTATAATTTGAACCAAAAGTGGTATTTGAAATGTAATGTACAAAAAAAAACACCATAATATATTTTATTTTATTCTTGCATTTCTCTATTTTCTGGTTTCTTTCGGTTTTTCAAATATGATTAGAATACTCTTGAAAATATCAAAAAAATAATCTCTTTAAATTACCCCTCTAAATCGATATTCTTTTACAAAACGTGATACTCTTAAATATCTGGCATGACTTTTGATAGAAAAAATGTTAACAGATCAAAAAAAAAAAAAAATAAATATGTTTGTAAAACTATGAGCTTCTTCGCTCCACTCAAAATTTTAAATCACAGCATTTCAATTTATATATTTTAAGTCAAACTCCTATCAGATTCGTTTTTCATGAACAGAGATTTATTTTTGTGTACAAATTTGCATAAATTATTGAACTTTAAGTGTTCCACCTTCTTAATTTCCCACATATACAATGCAGTGTGCCAGTATCAATTTTACTGTTTTTTTTTTTTTGTTAAATGTAATAAAAACAATTAATTAAAATGATATAAATATTCGATACTAAAACATATTGATAAGCTCGTTATGAGCCATAACTACATGATTAAACATCATGTTGTTATGATTAGAATATTAACTAGCTATCAACACAAAAAAAATAAAAATTATTACGCAAGTACTTAACAGTAACATATTAATAATATTATGTCGAAACCGAACATAATATAACATCATTTTTTCTACAGCAAAATGTATTATTTCCAATATATGCTTATAAACAAATTAATTTATATTCGTACCTAGCTACTATAAAATAATTTTATATTATATAAACATATAATTAGGTACGTTTTTTTTTCACCATTTATTTTCGTTTATGGATAACAGCATAAACTATTGTTTCCGCAGTCATAAGAATCACCGTGTGCACAACTAAACGGAAGAAAAATATCGATTCTTATTATACGGTTTGTTGAATCGTTACATGCAGTGCTACACACATTGGCTATATTGATGTATATATGTATATGTATATGTACATCATTACAATACAACAAAAGGAAAAGATACTGGTATTGAACTTCATTTTCATACTTGCTAGTAGAAAATGTACGATCTCACTCAATCTCTGTTGATATTTTTATAGTTAAATCGGCATCAACTTGAACGGATTTTGAAAAATGTTGGCTTATTTTCGTCGTGATGTTTTGAAGACATTATAATCGACAGTTTTTTACTATTACTAATCTCTGTATTATTGTATAAAACAATACTTACAATACAATAATAATAATGTGGATTTCACGTACATTTTGACATTTATATCGTAAAATGTATATTTTTCCCGGGTTTTCTCATTTATTAAGAAAACTTCTGAAAAAATCGAAAAATGAACTCCCTAGAGTATCTCTGTACACGGATTTCCTTTTATGAAAGGCGTTTCACTTAAAAATCGGAGATTTCTGGTAGAAAAGTTGCGCACAGATAAAAAATAAAAATAAAATAAACATCTTTGTATAACCATAAGCTTCTTCGTTCCACTCAGGATCTAAAAGAAAACACGTCGTTCATATAAAACTGTGCATAAGGAGGAAAAACACACATTTACGGTAGTGAGCTTTGTGATCGATAATATCAAGTAATCCGTAGAAGATGATATGGATAAAGACATTTTCGCTGAAGAAGGAACCTCCTCCTTTCCGATAATGTTAATGCCTTAAGTACAGTATAGCATGGTCACCATTGAGAAATTCACCACATAGTATATGTCTGTAAAGTAACATTTAGTTTGGAAATATCAGTTTTCAGTGATATTATAATAAACCCACTTCCCTATAACCTATATAATATACTCATCAGTCATCACACAACAGTCGTCGATGCTTTCAATAAAAATGTAAAAATCAAAATTCGCCTTGTTTACCTATACATACTATCAGCTATTCTCGTATGAAAAATATTTGGAAAACTTGTCGAAAAATAGATAATATTTTAATCTAAACAAAATAAATCACCTGTATTATACCCGAATGGAATTACGTGATTTTTACATAGTCATGACGTTGTAATTATTACCAACACATTTATGGTGTTTGTATCGATACAAAGATTTTAAAACGTGGTATGTACGAGTAAATAGGACCTAGTCGATAGATACAACAATATAAGTACCCATACTAAACAATAATCGAAACGTCAAAAAAAAAAAAATAAAAATAAATATTATTATAGCCTTTCTATTTTTTAAATGAAAGGTAAACGCGATACGTTTTTTTTTTTTTTTTAATTTTTTTATCTTACACACGTATATATATATAGATAAAATGTATTTACTTCTGTATTAATACCGATAATATATAGAAAATATAGGTTAGGTTTAATATAGAATATTATGAGTTTTTTCCTCCGAACATGCTGTATCAGTGTTGTTTCACGTATGATGTATTCATCACGGTACCTATTTGAATTTAATGGACGAGTAAGGAGCCATCTACAATGGCACGTTTTTTGTATTCATCTCATCTCATCTGGTGACGCGCAACTAAGAAATAAACTGGCAATTACAAGTGTCGCGTTCGATATTATAACGTCCGACATTTTATTAGTATATTGTCAACGGTATAACATTGTAGGCGATAATATTTATTGCAAAATAGAACGGTGAAATATCATATTGACGTGTCGGCGTGTTTCATTAAATTTCCAAACGACGATATGGTCTTTACACCGGCAATTCTTCACTATCGTAGACAAACGTATACAGAGTGTTAACTCCAGACCGCACGACGCTCTTTATCTCGGAAAGTTAAGTAAAACATGTATTTTTTTTCCGAATTTTCTTTTTGAAAAATTTAAGAAACAAGTTCATTATATTATTATTAATCGGTTTATTTATTTATAATAATCAATCAATGAATATTTGTATTAATTTCGTTTCTGTACATTTTAATATTTATCATTCTTCCGAGTGTTTGCCTACAGGCTTAAGATCCCACGCCCACCTCAAGATTACCAACTCACCTGTCTTGCTTGCGCTGGACCTGCCTTCCTTTTCTGAACGTAGGCATCGAACGAATATTCAGTTCCTTTACAAACAATTATCAAACCAAATACATTCCTATTCCTATTACTTAGTGAGAAAAGCTTCCGTGTTACTCCACTCGTTCTTCTATTTTCTTTTCCAATGCTATTTTCCAGTTTCCTACGAAATGCGAAACCCTATATTTTCTGTAATTATTAGTATAATTTAATATTTTTTATATGTTCTAGATTGTAATTTGACTTGTTACTTTTGTAAATAAAAATTAAATTAAATAACTAATAATATATAATATTATTTAATATACTTAAACTATTTATTTGCATTAATGGAATTTTTTTTTCTTTTGTGTTTTTTAACGTTCTTTTACTAATTGTTTAGATTGTAATTTAAACATTTAAATTTTCTAAATTTTGGACCTTAATTATGTAAATTATATTTTGACATTTTATACGTAAAACTTTAAATACGACCTGATAAATAATATGCACTGAACCTTATATTTTGGACATTTCGACTACTGGACCTAAAACTGATCTAAAATCGCATTAAAAGTTTCACTTAAGTTTCATTAAACCTATTTATCTCATCTTAAATTATGATTAAACCGCTACCATATTTTTATTTTTTAATGTTAGTTTCATATATTTTCAAAAACAAATAAAACATCTGTTTTCATAATTTCAACGTTAGAATTTGTATTTTCCGTACTTTCATTAGTTGTCACGTCAAATTTCGTTTCAGCTTGTCAGACGCTAGATTTTCAGAGGTTATGATAACTAATTTTAATAATATAAAGGTCTCCTAGTAGATGGACTCTTAACGATGTTCTCTGTGTAAGCCACCGGAGTTGTCATGTATAAAAATACTTACATTCCAATTTCATAAATACAATCGAACCTATCTAAACGTCAAAAACTTAGCTGATAATCTCGAGGTTATTTTTACTAATCTTATCGTTATTCATCTTTATTTTAAAATCATTTATTTTGTTTTTATACTTACCAAAAAGATACTTGGAAAAAAATGTATCCTTTCCAAAATAATAAAAGCGCCTTACTCTAAATTGATCAATCTGTATATTGATATGTTTTTTAATGCGTACCTATACAATTATAGCAATCATAACGTCCATTAATGTATCTACCCGTTGTGCGACGACTACTCAATTACAAATTTGTTTTGTATATTTGTTTACTGATGGGTTTTCTGTCCATTCATCTGTACAGTAGGTAATAAGGCATAACGTGATAACAATATATTGGAAAGCGTCATTAAATCGGTGTACCTATACGAATTTCTAATCCTCTACGGCCTAGTATACAGTTCAGTCGCCAGTCCGTTTAAAAATATTCACTTAGTTAAATCAAAAATATCTATTTACGCATTATTATTATTGTCGGTTAATCAATAGAGCTATAATTTGTTCTTGTTGCCCGCAAACAAAAACCTATCTACCTGTAGATACGGATAATAATAAAACACAGAACGAAACATANCTATAATTTGTTCTTGTTGCCCGCAAACAAAAACCTATCTACCTATAGATACGGATAATAATAAAACACAGAACGAAACATACAGACATAATACGAGTAATGAGTGTATTATTATTTACTATACTGCAGTGTCGTCTCGTGGAATGCGTCCCTCCCACCACTACTCAGACTGCGTGATCCGTTAAAATTAAGAAACCGTGTAATAACTTTATCTAAAAAAAAAAAACAGCCGTGATTGTTTCACTCTATTTTCCGGAGCTAAAAAACATCAAATCGGTAAACCACTCGTCAACGTTTCGTGTGTATTATATTATGTACAAAGGTGACACAAAATAGCAGTGGCCGCTATATTAGCACTAATATTTTTTCATGGCATAAGCAGACTGCTAACCAAAATTAAAAAAGACGTATTAGGATAATGGGCGCGGGTAAAATATGAGAAAAAAATAACAAACTAGTTTTCTTTAAGTATATTTAATATGATTACCTAGAGTCTAATAATTTTTCATAACTTATATACTACATTATAACAATAAAATATTATAATCAAGTTTTACTGTTAATACGTCAATATCTAACATTGTAACAGTTTACCCCGTAACAGTTGGCCCCAACCGATCGTCTTTAACAATTTTGTTTATAACTTATAAGGTTATAGTTATTTTGAATACAAATTGTATTCTATACAATAAAGACTTACACTGTTTTTGTGTGAGCAAATAAAAAAATAATTACCTTAAACAATAATTTCAAAAAAAAATTTAACACAAAAGGTTTTTTTTTTCAACGTTTTTTACATTTATGAAATTATCTATTAAAATACGTTTGTTATCAAACAGGTTTATCAACGATGGTATGCACATGGTCGAAGCCGGTAATTTCACGCAATAATTTTGGTATTACTAACTGCGTAGTACAAATTATTATTACCCTAACACTTTGTCCCGAGTAACACTACGCCCATACTCCCCTAGTTCCAAACACGTGATTCTCAGATAATTATATTTTAGTTTTAAGAAAAATCAAATATGTAACGCGTCATACCAATTCCATTTTAATCAGATAATTATTTTTCCACGATCAGTTATTTTAAATTCTATAATACCAGCAAAACACCGATCACAAAAGCAAATCTAAGTACTAGTTATGGTTGGGAAGAGGTTGAAAGTTAAAACTTTCTCAAGGCACACCATTGATACTTAAACAAATCGTATACAACATTTCATCCCTCTGGCTACATTTGGGGGTTCAATATAGGTACAAAGTCATAAAACACTCTTCTCGTATAAAAACATAATGAAATTCGATAAAAAATTTAATAACAAAAAATGGCTACTTTGTAAATGACGGTGGCGTCGCTGTAACAACAGCATGTTAATTAGCTACCTAGTGTTGTGTATATTCTATGGGTCTTATAAACATTTTTTTTTATTATTATTATTATTATTGCTATTGTTGTTGTTGTTTACGCGACCGATAAAAATAAATAAATGTTCCAACTCTAGTAACACAGTTTTGGTGTAGCCGAAAATATAATCGCACGGATGACGTCGGCTAGGCCGTTATATTATTTATTATTTACGCGTGGTGGTGCACTCGCGCGTTTCGGATGATTAACTGACGTAAAAGGTGTACGGACTGATCCGTTTGACCATTTTTATTTTTTTTTTTGTAAGCCAAATTTTTTCGAGTCATGGCTGGCTTAAGTCACCGCGGAGACATTACCGTTACGAGAACCATAAACCATTATCGTACGATATTCTCAAAAATTATAGTAAACCATATACAGACAAACCCTATCAACGAGGCGGTAGGTTTAGATAAGTGTTTGAGCTACAAACTACAAATTAATTTTTTTTTTTTTTAAAATACCTGTACGTGGTGGATATATCAGTACAGGGTATATTGTATTATTACGTATAGCAATTGTTCTGAAAGCTCAAGGTTTCTAGATGGTACTTTAAAGAAGTTATTTTTTTAAATTTTTAACGCTATTTTTTAAATAAAATCACTTAGGTGGAAAAAACGTAGAAAAACAAACGATTTCACGATTTCATCATTTTATAAAAACACGGACGAGAAAACCTACCAGAAAAATCTACCAGAAAAAATAATTTAATCGAAAAATCACAATAAACTATTTTGTTGCCTTCTTAATTTACTTTCTTACGGTATCATTGCTATAATTTTTGAGCCACTCTTAAGCTTTTAAAGAATTTTAATTTTTGGGAGTTTTTTACTGTAATTCGGTTATAAATACACGTAGAAACTCGAAACTTGGTAATAATACATATATTAGACTTACCTAGACGTGGTAAAATGTCACAACGAAACATTTTTAATCCGCCGAAGGTGGACTACCCACTTTCTATCTTTTTATTTTCATTTAATACTGACACGGTCAATACCAAAAAGTAATATAGGTAAAACAAGTTATAAAAATTTGCACGGGCAACGACGGGCGGAACAGCTAATAACAAATAAAATATAGTTTTATGGTTGAGTTTAAAAATTAAACATAAATTTTACACGCATGACAAAGTAGATAAATATGATCATAATATTCTGATACAGTTAAATGTTTTTTCACTTCA